GTGTATCGTAAAGTTGTATTCGGAAAGAATAAACCAGTTTTATTAAGTAAGGACTTGTGTCACTAAAGTTTCGTCGGAACGAAGTTACGGAAAATCAATTAACAAACGAAGACGTAACAGTATTCATTCTGAATTTATTTGTTCTGTACATATGCAGCTTTTGTGTAACATGTGATTGAGAAAGCCATTAAGTTGATTTATTTCTAGCTACCTATAGTTTCGAGAAGTGAGGGGGTATTGCTACAGTACTGCATGTTGTGCAAACTTATCGACAGCAGTCTCCTTCAATGATCGTTGAGGTAGTATCTATAGGTTGTAGTCTCACCTATATTGTAATGAGAATGACCAGTCACTGGAATAGTGCTAGTCGCCCTGGGTAAATGTAACGTTTCTTATAAACTAAGAAATTTTAGATTTAGACAATCTGGAACAGAATTTTGATGGAGAAGCAGTTGAGAGAATCCAGTAAAACCAACAGTCAATCGTTATATAAAGTAAAGACACACACACACACACACAATAATAAATAAAACAAGTAATTTGTTCTAACTTTTTAATTTCCAAAAAAAATTACAATTTGCTAGGTTTACCTAGCGTCAATAGGTGTATACACCTGACAACACTAGGTAAACCTAGTGAAAACGGTGTTTTTGAAAACTGAAAAGCTTCTAAAAACATAATACTCGCTTTATCCCTAAACAAAACTTTACTTTTCTTGTTGCAAGTTCTTCCTTATTTTCATTCAAATACACAAACTGTTGTAATAAATATAATCTTACAGTTCACTTTGTGCCCGGTCTCATTGTTCTACTTAATTAACTAGCTACATTTATTTTTGAAACACCAGTATGTCGTGTACATCATAAACACGTTTGTACGAATTTACACCCTACTTACTGACATACAACCTTAGACACCCCACCCCCCCATTTCAATAACGCTACAGTATTGAGTTTACCCAATATGGGGTTTAATAACATTACAATTATTGTGAAATTCAGGATGTCAGAAAAACATGAAGTTTCAGGAAGTCTTAATAAAAAACGATAAAACTCTATAACCCGAGTATTCTTGAAATGTGGACCTTTCTTTTTCTGAAGATGAAAGGTTCACCTTTAGAAAGCATTTGGGTTATAGGGTTTTTATAGTTTTATATTATAGTGAAATGATATTGGCAGTGTACAAGGAACCGATGAATTGAGTTCTTCATTCTTAATCTCGTCAATTGCAATCCCCTCATGAAACCTGAAAAATGCTACATTTTGATTTTTAAAGTGTCTGTATAGCCAACTTCTTTCTACCAATTATTGTTTTCAATAGTTTTAAAATAAAAAGCTACCAAATACAAGTAGAACAGTTTAAACATACAAATGTTTGACACATTTTGTTTTTATGCTTGTTTTATAATCTTCGTGTAATGCTGCACAAAGAGCTATCTAACAACCAGCCAGCAGCACCATTACCACAAGGTCTTTACCCAGATTTTTTCACAAAATAACAACATTGGTTGTTACTTTTATAACATACCCACAGCTTAGTGCAAAAAACACATTTGAAAATATGGATCCTTCAAACTACAGCCCCACACTCGAATCACTAGAACATGCTTATCACGAAACAAAACTGGACTTTTTTAAAAACACTACTGTCTTAAAGAATTTCACAGAATAAAAAAAATAAATTTTTGTTCACAGATTTTTATTGTTTTGCTTATTTTCTCAATTAATATGTTTAAGTTTTTAAATATTATAATTTTGCAGAAACTATTTTCTATCTACCATACTTTGGTCTTTACATTTGAAACATTGATTTCATATTTATTTTTCTTCTTTATTCATCACGATGAAGGTACAGTTGTAGGCAATATTTGTGTACAATTCTGTACATTATAAACCTTTGTTACATATTAAACAGGACAGAATGTTAAAAAACTAATATCTCTAAAGAATCTAAACTCACCTGCATAAAACTAGCTCATCTTTCAACTATCTGATGAAGCTATATTAATGTTTGTAAGAAAC